CTCGGTTTTGAAATGCCCCAGGATGAACCAGAGTCTAAAAAAAATTCTGAGGTGTTTGGCTGATTTCTTTTGATTTTCCCATGATGTCAAGCAAAGAGGCACCGAGTTTGAAGGTAGGCCTTGAAATACATCCACAGGTACACCTCCAATTGACTCAAATATATGTCAATTAGCCTATCAGAAGCTTCTAAAGCCATTACATCATTTTCTGGAATTTTCCAAGCTGTTTAAAGGCACAGTCAACTTAGTGTATATAAACTTCTGACCCACTGGAATTGTGATACAGTGAATTATAAGTGAAATAATCTGTCTGTAAACAATTGTTGGAAAAGTTACTTGCACAAAGTAGATGTCCTACCCGACTTGCCAAAACTATAGTTTGTTAACAAGACATTTGTGGAGTGGTTGGAAAACAAGTTTTAATGACTCCAACCTAAGTTTATGTAAACTTCCGACTTCAACGGTATATATATATATATATATATATATATATATAGAGAGAGAGAGAGAGAGAGGAGAGAGAGAGAGAGAGAGAGAGAGAAAACTGATCCAATAGCCTTCAAAACAAAGTACAGTGGATAAAAAGACAATTAGGCACATATAAAGAAACGTTGCCGTTGGAGTATAAATCAGCAGGCTTTGGCACAAGCATTACACAAATGAGAGAACACCTTACTCTGACCATTTTACTCGCTGGACTAGAGCTGGTTAGTCTGTTTTCATGTTATCCAGAGCGTTGATGACTGTAACTGGGCTGCTGGCAACAATTTAATAACGCTTTTTTTGCCGACGTTTACTGACACTGGACGGGTGTTGAGCGTTCCTAAATGGCACACTCAGACGAGAGTGACCTGTAATCGGAGTAGATAGCCAGAGGGAATTTACGAACGCACCCTTTAACAGATCATCTACATCACGCCTCTTGACAGACTGAAATGTAAATGTAATGAAAGATTTCACAGCAAAGGATTTAAATGGAATATTAGCAAAAGCCGTACCCAATTCTCAGGTCCTAGACTCAAAGAAAGAAGAAGTGGGAGTTTTGTTTGTTTTGGCAATGTACTATTTTTATTAGGGTGGATTGTTAGCATCAGTATTAAGTATGGATTTATTTTAATTTTATTTTTGGTTTCAAACCAAAACAACTTTTGGATGTAGTCCGCCATAAAACCCACAGAAGAAGAAGAAGAAGAAGAAGAAGAAGCCTCTCGAAAGAACTTCAGACCAATCATCAGAAAGATATAGTTTGCGCATGCGTAGCGCGTGTGCTCCTTTGCGCGGGAGAGACAGGCGGAAGTGAAAACCCCAACAGAGCTTTCAGAAAGGATTTCAGGATTTCATCTGGATGTATGCTAGCTCGTTAACAAACTGTAAACTGTCTTTTGACTTTGCATTTACTTTGATGGTGCAACTGCAGTTTATTAAACAGTGCCGTTAATGTAGGTGTTTTGACGATGTTATTCTCGGCAGGGCATAAAGTCAAGACTCAGAGTAACTGCTGCTAGTGATCCACGGCACAGATAAAACAATGAGTTAGTTAACGTTATACAAATATTTCAGTGATCTGTAACGTTAACTAGATAAGTAACGTTAGAGGTTTGCCAACATTAGCCCTGTAAGATTAACGTTACTAGGCTAACTACCTGTACGTTTATTGAGATGTTATTTAATTGTTTATGTTGTCATTTGTATAGTTTCAAAAACGATTATATCGATAATTCATTGACTGTCATTCCCTGCACTTAACTTACTAACAGTATAAGCTCTAACTATTAATTGGACACTTCCACAGCCCCGTCCCTCATCTTCCCAACTAAAGTGCCATGGCCAGACTGTTGAAATGACAGATTGTGTCTTCAATGTCACTTCTCTAAAGTGAACACAATGGAAGAGGACTTCAGCCAGTCGCTGACCCCGCCGGTGTCACCCTTCGTAGGGGAAAGCCAGTGTGAGCTGACCCCAGCCCTGCCACCCTGTTTCTCCTGTGCGTCTGACCCTGGTCGGGAAGACACCCAGCCACTGTCATCTGACAGTTATATTGGCAGGGGCTCCCTGAAACGGTAACGTCTCTATGAGCACACAGCTAAAGCATATTTTAGCAGGCTAATATTATATTGAACAAAACTATAAACGCAACATTTACAAAGATTTTACTGCGTTACAGTTCATATAAGGAAATCAGTCAATTTAAATACATTATTACAGACAGAAATACTCCTCAGACGATCCCGCAGATGAAGAAGCCGGATGTGGAGGTCCTGATCTGGCGTGGTTATACGTGGTCTGCGGTTGTGAGGCCGGTTGGACGTACTGGCAAATTCTCTAAAATGACGTTGGAGGCAGCTCATGGTAGAGAAATTAAGATTAAATTATCTGGCAACAGCTCTGGTGGACATTCCTGCAGTCAGCATGCCAATTGCACACGCCCTCAAAACTTGAGACATCTGTGGCATTGTGTTGTGACAAAACTGCACATTTTAAAGTGGCCTTTTATTGTCCCCAGCACAAGGTGCACCTGTATAATGATCATGATGTTTAATCAGCTTCTTGATATGCCGTACCTGTCAGGTGGATGGATTATCTTGGCAAAGGAGAAATGCTCACCAACAGGGATGTAATCAAATTTGTGCACAATTAGAGAGAAATATGCTTTTTCTGCATATGGAAAATATCTGGGATTTTTTTATTTCAGCTCATGAAACATACGACCACTTTACATGTTGCGTTTTATATTTTTGTTCAGTGTATAATCTACTGTATAAGAGTACAGAGACATTACATAAGCCACTTGCCATGACATATGACAGTATGAAAGTCCCACCTAATTCATGGATGTCTCGCAGTGTTTTTGAATGGCCTTCAAGAATATATAATAAAATTCATAAAAAAGCGGTCATTTTAAGATGTATGTAAAATTATATTTGTATTCGTGGATTAATTTACTCAATCAATCAGAAATCTTAATTAAAGGCATCAGGTAGAAGTAAATTCATCCGCAAATACGAATACAATTTTGCACATCTTAAATTACTGCGTTTTCATGAATTTGACAATATAATCTTGAAGGCCATTCAATAACAGCGTGGGACATGATCCAGGAAGTAGGTGGGACTTTCATACCGTATGTGACACATAGTAACTCAAAAGATTGTGGACAGCTGACAACAGTGGACAGAAATAATACATATTATGTTGATCTTGTTATATTACAACAGTATCATTACCAACAATATTGTTTGAGGAAAACTCCCTGTCTTCAGTGTCTTGTAGGCTGCAGCAGATCTAAGTTACTATTGTCTTCCATAGACTGCTGTTGCGTCTGGACCCAGCCCCTGCAGACTATGAGGAGGACACAGTGGCTATCTTTGGCTTCCCATGGGTGACCGAGACTGCTCTGGTGGAATCTACCAAACTTTTGTTTGGCCTGTTCAGGTGGGAATAGAGCCAGATAATGTGGAGTGTCATTCATTTTTTTCAGACTATGTATAGCTGCCTCACTGTCTCTAATTCTCAGGGTTTTGAGGTCAGTGTGTCACAATTTGTTGTCACCTTTCAGGCAAAAGCTTCTTAAACTAGAGACCCTGGTGCAGTCCAGCTCTCATGACTTTGGTAAGCTAACTTAATCTATACCTTGCTGCTCATGGAGGAGTTCACATGTTGATATTATTTGATAAAGCTTTGTGGTAATAACCAAGATACTGCCTGTGTGATGTGATTTGGTATGGTGGTGGTTTGAAATTTGGTAGTTGTGATGGGGAAATCTTGTACTGTTTTTGTTGTACTGTATGTACTTGACAATGTTATGTTTCAGGCCAAGCCAGCAGCCTCCATTATGAGGCAGAAGACCTTAGGCAACAGTGTGTGCTGTTTCTCCAATATGTCAAAGTCTTCCTATACAGGTAATGCTACTGGTCAGTTATTACTGATTCTCACTGACTGTGTCCCTGGCCTAGGGCATAGGCTATATTTACTTAGCTAGTTCCAGTAAAACACTGTAAGGATTAGTTTTTTGTTTAAAAGGTCAAATGGTCTGACACCTGACTTTTCTGTGACTCCCTGTGTGACTTCTGCACCCTGCAGGTACCTGGAGCCCACCTGTCCCCTGGAGGAGGGCCCCTGTCACCCCTATGAGGAGCTGGAGGCTCAGCTACCCTCTGCTCTGCTGGAGGAGCTCTTTGGGGTCACCCTCCTCATAGGGCGCCTCAAAGACCTGCCGGCCAACATCCAGAGTGCCCTCACCATACAGCACCAGGGCAAGGTAGCCCCCCCCCCCCCATACACACACACACACACACACACACACACACAAAAAAAGCATGAATATTGTGAGTGAATACCAGACCTGGGTTCAAATATTGGTGCATTTGAGTATCTGGTATTTAATATACATTTTCTGTGGATTTGAATATTCAAATACACAGCCCAAAACAAGTATTTTTATATGAGTATTTGAATGCAAAAACCAAATAGTCCGCCAAATTGTATTTGACAGTATGTTCAAATACTTATTTAAAATGCTATTTTTAAATACCTGGGTTAAATGCATGGGAGTGTATTTGAGTCAGTGGATTTCAGTTTTTCAAATATTTCCAAATCCATTAAAATATTCAACTACTTGTCTTTTCAAAGAAAATATACAGTACCAGTCAAAAGTTTGGACACACCTACTCATTCAAGGGTTTTTCTTTATTTTTTACTATTTTCTACATTGTAGAATAATAGTGAAGACATCAAACCTTTGAAATGACACATGGAATCATGTAGTAACCAAAAAAGTGTTAAACAAATCAAAATATATTTTATATTTGAGATTCTTCAAAGTAGCCACCCTTTGCCTTGATGACAGCTTTGCACACTCTTGGCATTCTCTCAACCAGTTTCACCTAGAATGCTTTTCCAACAGTTTTGAAGGAGTTCCCACATATGCTGAGCACTTGTTGGCTGCTTTTACTTCACTCTGCGGTCCAACTCATCCCAAACCATCTCAGTTGGGTTGAGGTCGGGTGATTGTGGAGGCCAGGTCATCTGATGCAGCACTCCATCACTCTCCTTGGTCAAAATAGCCCTTACACAGCCTGGAAGTGTGTTTTGGGTCATTGTCCTGTTGAAAAACAAATGATAGTCCCACTAAGCGCAAACCAGATGGAATGGTGTATCGCTGCAGAATGCTGTGGTAGCCATGCTGGTTAAGTGTGCCTTGAATTCTAAATAAATCACTGGCACCAGCAAAGCACCATCACACCACCTCCATGCTTCACGGTGGGAACCACAGATGCGGAGATCATCCGTTCACCTACTCTGCGTCTCACAAAGACAGAGAGTAAAAGACGGGGCAACCAAAAATCACAAATTTGGACAGATTTCCACCGGTCGAATGTCCATTGCGCGTATTTCTTGGCCCAAGCAAGTCTCTTCTTCTTATTGGTGTCCTTTAGTAGTGGTTTCTTTGCAGCAATTCGACCATGAAGGCCTAATTCACGCAGTCTCCTCTGAACAGGTTGATGTTGAGATGTGTCTGTTACTTGAAGTCTGTGAAGCATTTATTTGGCCTGCAATCTGAGGCTGGTAACTCTAGTGAACTTATCCTCTGCAGCAGAGGTAACTCTGGGTCTTCCTTTCCTGTGGCGGTCCTCATGAGAGCCGGTTTCATCATAGTGCTTGATGGTTTTTGCGACTGCACTTGAAGAAACGTTCAAAGTTCTTGACATTTTCCAGATTGACTGACCTTCATGTCTTAAAGTAATGATGGACTGTCGTTTCTCTTTGCTTATTTGAGCTGTTCTTGCCATAATATGGACTTGGTCTTTTACCAAATAGGGCTATCTTCTGTATACCACCCCTACCTTGTCACAACACAACTGATTGGCTCAAACATATTAAGAAGGAAAGAAATTCCACACATTAACTTTTAACAAGGCACACCTGTTAATTGAAATGCATTCCAGGTGACTACCTCATGAAGCTGGTTGAGAGAATGCCAAGAGTGTGCAAATCTGTCATCAAGGCAAAGGGTGGCTATTTGAAGAATCTCAAATATAACATATCATTTGATTTGTTTAACACTTTTTTGGTTACAACATGATTCCATATGTGTTATTTCATAGTTTTGATGTCTTCACTATTATTCTACAATGTAGAAACTAGTAAAAATAAAGAAAAACCTTTTAATGAGTAGGTGTGTCCAAACTTTTGACTGTTACTATATCTGAATACCTACTTCGGATATATGTGAAAGTAATTTAGATATTTGAAATAGTATTTGAACCCAGGTCTGGTGAATACACCCTGATATGGTTTTATTGTGTATCTCCCCTCAGCTGTTTCCTCCCTCCTGGCATTTGTTACACCTCCACCTGGACATCCACTGGTCAGTGTTGGAGATTCTCCACTTGCTGGGGCAGAGGATGCAAGGTATGTGTTGTTGTCATTTAGGCTCTCCTCTAACCTATCATAGGGTAATATTCCAAGGCAAAACAAATGACATACGCAGTACTGTAAAAATCAAACACGGATCTGAAATACACAATATGAAGGGAAAGAAAGTTGAGGCTGGTGTTGTCAGGCTGGTGTTGTCAGGCTGGTGTTGTCAGTGTATTGTAGGTCCACTACATCCTTATTTGTCTGTTTGACCTTTGCAGGTCAGGTGGTGTACGCCCACCAGTTTGTGAACCTGACAGGGGAGAACCTGACCAACAACAGCCTGTTTGAGGAGCATCTCTGCAACCTGCTCTCTGACCTCACTGGCCTGGCCATGGGCAAATACAGCAAGGTACTGTGTATGGGGTTATACATGTGTGTTGTGTTCCTTAACAACGCTAACCATTGAGTAAGCCATGAGGCAAACCCTTGAAAAATGCTCCAGGGGCGCCACACTATGGCTGAACCTGTGCTCCCGTCTCTCTGTGTGGGTGGGTGGTTGTGTCTAAGAGTTGGGGGGGGAGAAAAACAAAAAACAAATTCCTAATAACTTTTCGTATAGTTATAATACTGCCTAGATAGGGTGAAATCGATAGGTCATTTAAAACCTATAGGCAACATTTACAGAGTTAGTAGCCTCTTCCGAGGCTGAGGCTTTTGGGGTAAAGGGTATTCCTAACTCTGTCCTCTGTTGTAGGTAAGGCCTACTGAGGCCCTGACCAGCCATCACTACCACTGCACCTGCACCAAAGAGCTGTGGATTCTACTTCTACACTTACTGGAACACAGGAGCAAAGTGTTACACACACAGGTGAACACACACACATTGAATGATTTGGTGACCATCCGATTGTATCTACAATTAATCACATTTGACATGGTGTTTGTATTTACAACTGTGTGTGTGCACTTGTGTGTGTTTCCCCCTAGTCTTTCTGGAACTACATGAACACACTGCTGCGGTCTCTGATCAGTGGCCAGCCTGTAGCAGAGCAGTACAGTGGGCTCCCTACACACTGTAAAGACCCTCTGGGCTTCACGTGGTGGCTTGTCACTCACTTGGCTGAGCTGGGACAATACAGCCGCAACGGGGCCTTCCAAAACGAAGTAATCTACCAGAGATTAGGGGGCTATAAGGAGGGGTGTCCTAAACTGTAAAGGGATGTGATTTTTCCTGATTAATCAGATATGGCAGATTTTTCTGAAATATGTCCTCCATTTATAGTTGAAACAGTCAAAATTCTGATTTGTCCTGATCACACCCCCTGTTAAGATGAAAGACAGGCTGCAATTTTGACTTCTTGCCATGCTTATTAGGTTGTATGTTTTTGTTGGTAATATAATGTATGCTCTGGTCTCACAGAAACAGCTGGAGGACAACTGGAGTTTTGTGGGTGAGCTGCTCAAGTCCACCTGTAACCCTAAGGTAGGCTCTCGCTCAAAGAGGATATGTGGGTTATGGATGGGAGCATGGTTTCTGTGTACAGTTATAATTAGTTTGTTCATTGATCTGTGAGTGTTGCAGGGAGCGCTACAGGAGGATCAGATCAGAATGCACGTCCACTGCTGCCTGAGTCTGTCTCTGCTATGGGAACCTAACAGTAGCACTGTCACCACACTCTGGGAGTACTACAGCAAAAACCTGGTAAGGAAGAGCTCTAACACACCACTCTAAAACATGGATAATATGTAATGAATGATGTGTATGTCTGTTATTATATACAGCAGAATTATGTGCCCAATAATCCCCCCCCCTTGGGGACAATAAAGTTGATCATATCATGTTGTACTCTTATCTCTCAATTAATGTTGGATTGAGAAATATCCCATTTACATTCTCCCCTCCGTCTCCCCCTCTCTCCAGAGCGGTTCGTTCACAGTGCCCTGGTTAGGGGTGTCGGGGCTCGGCAGCGTGAGCAGAACCCCCCTGGCCCTGTTGGAACAGGCCCGGAGCTGCTGCTCCCCCTCACCCCTTCACTCCCCCGGCCACACCCAGCTGTACCGCACAGCCAACTCCTTTCACATCTTCCTCAGAGTGCTGGCTCTCTACCTGGCCCAGGAGAACGCAGGCTGTGCCCCCTGGAGGCAGATCAAGGGCAGGTGAGGCGTGTGTGTGTGTGTGTAGGGATGGGTAACACGGAGGGGTACAGAAAAGGAGGCCAGTTAAACCCCTAAGGTACTCTTTAAATGGAGCTCAATTGGTTTAGTTCAATATTATGTTGATACGAAATACTGTCCCCTAAGGGGGGAAGGGAGGGCGGTGAAGATGACAGGTGAGTCCACACTCACAAACGTGACTCTTGACGTGTGTGTGCGGATGTGTGTGTGCCTGCCAGGTGTGGCACAGCCCCTCTCTGAGGCTTTGCTATTTGTGTCTCAGGAGGAATCTCCACCTGCATCTCCTCTCCTCCCAGCAGAGACCAGCCTAGTCCCACTGAGCCCCACATAAAACCCACAGCTGCTTCCCAAACTCCCCCAGCCATGGCTCCACCTTTCTGGGGAGACCAAAGACGATAAGCCCATCCAAGCCCATGGATCCCAACATCAGAACGTGGCCTGGGACGGGCCCGGCTGGGCGCCAGCGAGGAGGATAAATCCGCCTAATGACTTCCCTCTGTCTGGAACGTGCTCAGCCGCTCCGCAGACATGAAGGCTAATTAGCTAACGAGCATGGCGGTTAATTCCCCTTAACGAAGCCGTGTTGGTTTCCAGCACGGATGGGGGTGGGTGGCGGCAGGGAGGATGCTGGCAAGGACCGGACTGGGCTGGGCCTGGTCCAGATTAGAACACCCTCTCTCCCACTCTCTCTGCTCCAGTTCCCTCGAGAAGAGCTGGGCGTGCTTACGGCGTTCCGGCAACGTTACGGCAAAGTTCCCGCTGGCTGGCCCGGCTCCGTGGGAGGCCTGTGGTGGCTGCATTAATGGGATCGACTGGGAGAGCGCTGATCTCTTATGCCAGGAGTCGTGAGCATCTGCTCGCCTCCGGAAAAAGCTGTCCAGGATAAACAAACACACATACACACAGACTGTCTGTCTGTCTGACAGACAGAAAACACAGGATAAAGCCTCTGCTGCCTCCCAACCTGTTACAGCCTAACTGTATATCCATTTCCCACTACTGTTTTTCTCTAAATGGATCTCCCTATCTACCTTCTGTCTCTTTTTCTCATATTTTTTCTTGGCTCTTCCTGCCTTAGGTTATTTCTCTACATGGATACCATCCATACACCACCTCTCTCTTTCTCACCACTCTCTCTCCCTGTAACATGTAGCAGAACTTTAGAACCAGTCATGGTTAGGGCTGTTACGGTGACCCTATTACCGCCACACCGGCAGTCACAAGTAATGACTGCAGTCAAATTCCACGTGACCGTTTAGTCACGGTAACTAGGCTTCTCCAAGCTCTGATGCTGCTGATGGTCATTAGTAGCCTACCAAACTTGCTAACTGCCTGGTACTCAGACTCTATTGTCCTTCTAATCACTCTGACATCAATGCAAATGTAATTGAAAATCAAATCAAACATTTCATGTGAGCTCATGTTGCATAACATTTCTACAGGCTATGCAATTGCGTGGGAAAACAGAGTTTTGATGGCCTCTATTAAAAAGAGGAGGATCCCATCAGCTTTCAATAGGCTAGGCCTACTATATTTATTTCTCACGTTCCTAATATTAAGCACATTGCTTCGCTTTACAACAGGAATATAGCCTACCTGGCTGGCATGAAAATGAACCACGGGAAAGCGTCCTCCATTCGCTATTTAAGTGCATAGATTACATGTATTTTTTCCCCCTGCCCCTATTCTGAGACAGGTGCATGATAATGGTCCATTCTAAATCAAAACTAATTTCACACATACACTACCAGTCAAAAGTTTGGACACACCTACTCATTCAAGGGTTTTTCTTTATTTTTACTATTTTCTACATTGTAGAATAATAGTGAAGACATCAAAACCTATGAAATAACACATATGGAATCATGTTGTAACCAAAAAAGTGTTAAACAAATCATGATATGTTATATTTGAGATTCTTCAAATAGCCACCCTTTTGCCTTGATGACAGCTTTGCACACTCTTGGCATTCTCTCAACCAGCTTCATGACGTAGTCACCTGGAATGCATTTCAATTAACAGGTGTGCCTTCTTAAAAGTTAATTTGTGGAATTATTTATTTCTTAATGCGTTTGTGCCAATCAGTTGTGTTGTGACAAGGTAGGGGGGGGGGGGGGGGGGGGGGGGGTATACAGAAGATAGGCCTATTTGGTAAAAGACCAAGTCCATATTATGGCAAGAACAGCTCAAATAAGCAAAGAGAAACGACCATCATTACTTTAAGACATGAAGGTCAGTCAATGCGGAAAATTTCAAGAACTTTTGAAGTTCCTTCAAGTGCAGTCGCAAAAAACATCAAGCGTTATGATGAAACTGGCTCTCATGAGGACCGCCACAGGAAAGGAAGACCCAGAGTTACCTCTGCTGCAGAGGATAAGTTCATTAGAGTTACTTACCAGCCTCAGAAATTGCAGCCCAAATAAATGCTTCACAGAGTTCAAGTAACAGACACATCTCAACATCAACTGTTCAGAGGGGACTGTGTGAATCAGGCCTTCATGGTCGAATTGCTGCAAAGAAACCACTACTAAAGGTCAACAATAATAAGAAGAGACTTGCTTGGGCCAAGAAACATGAGCAATGGACATAAGACCGGTGGAAACGTGTCCTTTGGTCTGGAGTCCAAATTGGAGATTTTTGGTTCCAACCGCCGTGTCTTTGTGAGACGTGGTGTGGGTGAGCGGATTATCTCTGCATGTGTATTTCCCACTGTAAAGCATGGAGGAGGAGGTGTTATGGTGTGGGGGTGCTTTGCTGGTGACACTGTCTGTGATTTTATTTAGAATTCAAGGCACCCTTAACCAGCATGGCTACCACAGCATTCTGCAGCGATACGCAATCCCATCTGGTTTGGGCTTAGTGGGACTATCATTTGTTTTTCAACAGGACAATGACCCAATACACCTCCAGGCTGTGTAAGGGCTATTTTACCAAGAAGGAGAGTGATGGAGTGCTGCATCAGATGACCAGGCCTGCACAATCCCCCGAACTCAACCCAATTGAGATGGTTTGGGATGAGTCAGACGGCAGAATGAAGGAAAAGCAGCCAACAAGTGCTCAGCATATGTGGGAACTCCTTCAAGACTGTTGGAAAAGCATTCCAGGTGAAGCTGGTTGAGAGAATGCCAAGTGTGCAAAGCTGTCATCAAGGCAAAGGGTGGCTATTTGAAGAATCTCACATTTAAAAATATATTTTGTTTTATTTAACACTTTTTGGGTTACTACATAGGTGTTATTTCATAGTTTTGATGTCTTCACTATTATTCTACAATGTAAAAAAAAAAAGCCTTGGATGAGTAGGTGTGTCCAAACCTTTGACTGGTACTGTATATGATTTAGTATATGTAAAGACAAGATTATATTAAGAATGGTCTGATGGATGACAATATGTGGTCCTCTGTAGCTCAGCTGGTAGAGCACGGCGCTTGTAACGTCAAGGTAGTGGGTTCGATCCCCGGGACCACCCATACACAACAAATGTATGCACGCATGACTGTAAGTCGCTTTGGATAAAAGTGTCTGCTAAATGGCATATTATATTATTATATAATATCAGCCTTTCTCTTGTGAATTTTGTATTATCTATCACTTGTGAATGATGCACAGCGTGTGCAGTAAGGCAAGAAACAGCGCATGACTTATTTTTGCGACCTTTTTCAAATCATAGTCTCACACCTCATGTAGCCTGTTGATAAGGTTTGTATCACAACTAAAGTGGCCAAATAACTTCTTAATATTAAGCACATTCATCCGCTTTACAATCAGTGTAGAGCCTAACTGGCATACATAGGCGACACGTGAGTTTCAAGTTTGTGCTTATAACCTACTGCCGTGTGCGCATTGCTGCGCTTATAATGTGAAGAAATAGCCTAATAGTTTAGCAACATTTTAAGCTAAACGTTCTGGTTTGTTGCATCAGCCTTTTATTATACCCCCTTTTTCTCCCCAATTTCGTGATATCCAATTGCGATCTTGTCTCATCGCTGCAACTCCCCAACAGGCTCGGGAGAGGCGAAGGTCGAGTTAAGAACCACGCTTCTTAACACCCGCCCGCTTAACCCGGAAGCCAGCTGCACCAATGTGTAGGAGGAAACACTGTTCAACTGACGACCGAAGTCACAAGCAGCTGCTAGAGCGCGATGAGCCAAGTAAAGCTCCCCGGCCAAACCCCCCCCCCCCCCCCCCCCCCCCCCCCAACCCGGACGACGCTGGGCCAATTGTGCGCCGCCCTATGGGACTCCCGGTCACGGCCGGTTGTGACACAGCCTGGCATCGAACACGGGAGGCTGCACTACTCGGGAGGCCCAGCCTCGTTGCTTTCAAAAGGTTTTTTGATGCTAGTGGTTGTATTAATTTGGGATCTATCGCATCCCACAACTGTCCCAGAGTATTTGGAATATTTATTTCTCACACAAGACTAGTTGACCAATAGAATAGGTCAATTTTTGTATTATGGGGGATAGTAAATTGACACAGGCTAGTGCTTTTGCTGTTCGCTAGGCCTACTCATCTTGTTGGCTGACAAAGTAAATGTGGACAGTTCTTCTTACATCTTCAATATGCGCCTCGGAATTCGATAAGAAGGACACACGCAGTTGTGTCCCCAATGTGTCTGTCTTCACTTGTAGCCTACTTTGGAGCTGAGATGCCTGTGAGAAGGACCCAATCACGTGACTGGTATTGGGCTAATAAGAATTGATTGGCAGCCAGGAGAAGGGAATTAGGATTATTATATTCAGCCCACAATGGCCACTTTGGCTGCAAAAGGCATGGATTTTTTTAGGGGTTATTGCGGCCACACAAGGGGAATGCCGCAGGAAAATTTGATGCCTGGAGAGAATATAAGTGCTTGTCAAATCGTGATCGAGAGACTGATGGTTCCTCTGTGGAGATGGGAGAACTTTCCAAAAGGACAACAATCTCTGCAGCACTCTACCAATCAGGCCTTTATGGTAGAGTCGCCAGACGGAAGCCACTCCTCAGTAAAAGGCACATGACAGCCCGCTTGGAGTTTGCCAAAAGGCACCTAAAGGACTCTCAGACCTTGAGAAACAAGATTCTCTGGTCTGACGAAACCAAGATTGAACTCTTTGGCCTGAATGCCAAGCGTCACGTCTGGAGGAAACCTGGCACCATCCCTAAGGTGAAGCATGGTGGTGGATGTTTTTCAGCGGCAGGGACTGGGAGACTAGTCAGGATCGAGGGGAAAAAGGAATGGAGCAAAGTACATAGAGATCCTTGATGAAAACCTGCTCCAGAGCGCTCAGGACCTCAGACTGGGGCGAAGGTTCCCTTTCCAACAGGACAACGACCCTAAGCACACAGCCAAGACAACACAGGAGTGGCTTCGGGACAAGTCTCTGAATGTCCTTGAGTGGCCCAGCCAGAGCCCAGACCTGAACCCGATCGAACATCTCTGGAGAGACCTGAAAATAGCTGTGCAGCGACGTTCCCCATCCAACCTGACAGAGCTTGAGAGGATCTGCAGAGAAGAATGGGAGAAAACTCCCCAAAATACAGTGTGCCAAGTTTGTAGCATCATACCAAGAAGCTCACGGCTGTATCGCTGCAAAGGTGCTTCAACAAGTACTAAGTAAAGGGTTGAATACTTATGTAAATTATTTTTTAGATTGGTTTGGACTGCGAGAGGCGACTCGGGCCCACTGCTGCGTGCTGAGGTCTGACATTTACATGATCTCTAAAGGCATTTGTTCACGGTGCCGCAGGATCTAACAACGGGCGCTGGTTTTTTCTCACACCACACAGGCACACGCACACCTGGCATGCCTCTATTAGCACCAGAGAAGAGGGATGTAGCTTTGTGATGGAGGATGGGCGGTCCACACGATCTTGACTAGAGCAATGCAAAGTCTCAGTGAAAGCTGATAATAGTGGAATTTCACACCTCAATTTGAACTGTGACACTACAGATCTTCATTTTACTATGACCAATGGAAACTCATGTCCCTTATTTCTCCTCTCACTCTCTCATTCGCTCTCCCCCTTCTCTCATGCTCCTCTCCAGGGTGTACTCCAAGTTCCACCAGCGGCGGATGCAGGAACTATCCGAGGCTGGGCTAATGAACTTCCTGCTGCTGTTCGTTGTGGTGGCCCGGCAGGCTGAGCTGGAGGATGTAGCCTGCCGGGCCTGTGAGCTGCTGGGCCTGCTCCCTCCGGACTCCCCCCCTGCCCAGCGGAGCCTGGTATGGAGGGGCCAGCTGGCTCTCTTACTGCTCTTCCAGGAGAGAGGTCTTGACGTGGGGGCCCAAGCTAGCTGGCTGGCCTCCTCCTTCTCTCAGACAGCCAGGGAGTTCTACCTGAAGACCACGGAACCGTCTCGCCGCCTGGCCCTCTGGGGCCCCCTGGGGTCCTACCTGGAGGGCGTGGCCGAGGTGTTTGAGACGAGCGTGAGTCTCGGCCTGTCGGAGGAGAGGCTACTCAACGAGGGGTTCGGTCTGCTGCTGCCCGCTTGCCGCCAGTCGGAGCTGAGCTCCGCCCTGGGCTTTCTGCAGATCGTGCTGAGGGAGCTACGGTGAGGGAGGGGGTACAAACACTCAGCAACCCCCTGAGACACACTTAACACAAATGCCCACACACACACTACACATTGACGAGCGGACAGACATTGGCATTAGACATTGGCCTTAGACCCTACAACTAGAGCCTGGAGTTTTTGCTGGCATGATCACGTGAAAAAACTCCTGGCCCTACCTATCATTGCTGATATCTAGAAGCAGGAGACGGGTCCCCCTTGCCCCCAGCCCAGTCAGGCCCCAGTCCTGACACCTTCAAAGGCAGGAATGTGCTGTCCTCTGTCCCCCCCTCCATCCCAATGGTAAACCCAGCCCATCCATTGTGTACGGAGGCCCCTTTCTGTCTCTTGGGGACCATGTGGCCCCCAGGTCACCTTCAGCAGGTGCTGGCAGAGGTCTGAGTATAGTTATGGCCCCTAGGGGCCCCTTTGCAGTCACCATGGGTATAGCGGCAGATCTAGAGTGTGTGGAGTGACTGTGTGGCGGAGAGTGGAGACGGCGTCAGGGTGAGTTCACCAGCGGGCCACGGGTGTGTGTTACACGGACGACCCGATCAGAGGTCAAAGGTTTAGAGAGAAAGGCACAGGTGAAACCGGTGTCTGTTTTGGTGAGAGAAGAAGTAAAAGGGTAGGACAGAGGCTTCAGGAGGGAGAGGGTGTCTGGTTGTATCTGAATGGACCGGACCACTACAATGTTGTTATTGTTCAGTTTGGATTACCCTGAGTCAGCGCTAATAAAGCAGTAAGCTGCCAGCAAGAATCCTCACTCACGACTTAAATGAGTGTGTGCTTGCTTTGACTCTCCTGTGTATACATGCACACACTCCCACAGACACATACCTCCAAGGTGAAACACTAAGTGTGCTAGGGCTGGGAATTGCCAGGGACCTCACGATACGATATAACGATACTTAAGTGCCGATACGCTATAAAAAATAATATTGCGATATTGTCAAAACGATACGATATATCGTTTTAACAAATCCAGATATGTAACTATAGATTTTTCCCCCCATCACTAAAGTGTCCACTTTTAATTCAGTCCAGGCATATCTCGTTAGCTTCATTAATTCAAGAAAATTCAAGAAACTATCTCGGGGTTGGAGGGCACTCATTTGCACATTAATGGCAGACGTCGCAGAAGAGAGGAGCGAAAACTCCCAAAGGGGACCGTGTTATGGCCGAGATCACGCTGACCCATTTAACAAAATAAAAAAGCTCTCTCTCAAATTCGTCCCGCCAAATTACGCTTAATTCTCCGTCTTGGCAGTACTTGATATCTCTGTGATTAATGTGTTTTCAGTGACACAATTAACAGGTAATTATGTAGTCCTGCAAATTGTGCCTCGCCGTCATTGTTTATTAAGAGCAGAGCAGAATCTGCACACATCAAGAGAATTATCCCGCCAGAGGCTGCGACCGAGAGGTGTGTGCATGTGTGTGTACGCGTGTGTGACAACCACTGACTCGGATGGCCCTCGCCAAGGCCGGCCGCCCAAAGCCAACCAGGAGGCTAATTCCTCACATTGCATTCCATCCCATGATCCTGCGCGTGGGGGCCTGAGACCCCTGTGTCGCCAGAGGGTGTGTGTATGTGATGTCTCAGTGCTACACATTCAGTATTATATTGAGGGGTGGGTGGGGGACAATTATCTAAGATCTTAATTAAGTGCTCTCCTCCGTATCTAGACCCTACGCCCCTACACCTTGGCCCTCCATTGAACCCTGAGTCTCTCTCTAAGGAGCAGTGGATGGGCATTATGGAGATGGTGCAATGCAATAGTTGTTTTTCCCTGTCATTATTTAAGGCCCAGTGCAATCAAAAATATAATTTTCCTGTGTTTTATATGTATTTCCACACTGAGGTTGGATAACACTGTGTAAATGTGAAAATTATGATAATGCCCTTTTAGTGTAAGAGCTGTTTGAAAATACCGCCTGAAATTTCAGCCTGTTTTGGTGGGATGGAGTTTTGGCCTGCCTGGTTACATCAGTTAATAGACCAATAAGAAAGAGAGTTCCAAACCTCTCAGCCAATAACAGCTAGTTTTCAGTGTTCCCCTCCTCACTCAGACCACTCCCAGACAGTCCTTGCAAAATTGTTGCTTGAGAAATTGCTCTTTGCTGAGAAGCTATTTTTGTTGATTTTTAGGGATGTGTATTTTAAATAATTTCACTATTAGAATAATATCATTAATTTTTTTCTGATATCCTTATAGTTGAAATACATGTGTTTAAAAAACTGGGGTAATTGGCTTGCTACGCAGCCTGCACGACTTTGGAGAGAGGTGCTGCTCTGCTTGCTTGAGTTTGACCCGGGAAGGAGAAAGAGGGAGAGAGTAGCCATACAGATAGTGCCTTGTCTTGACCACATCAAATCGATGTAAAGAAGCTAGCTAAGATAGCTAGCTATCTAGGCTAATTGAGGCTATTTTTCTGCGCTTCCCGTCCTTGTCTACAACTCAATTTAGATTAAACAACAGCTTACCTGATGGTTGCTCATTGTAGCCTACTCCTTCTCATTTAACTACAGTGGGGGAAAAAAGTATTTTGTCAGCCACCAATTGTGCAAGTTCTCCCACTTAAAAAGATGAGAGAGGCCTGTAATTTTCATCATAGGTACACGTCAACTATGACAGACAAAATGAGAGCAAAAATTCCAGAAAATCACATTGTAGGATTTTTTATGAATTTATTTGTAAATTATGGTGGAAAATAAGTATTTGGTCACCTACAAACAAGCAAGATGTCTGGCTCTCACAGACCTGTAACTTCTTCTTTAAGAGGCTCCTATGTCCTCCACTCGTTACCTGTATTAATGGCACCTGTTTGAACTTGTTATCAGTATAAAAGACACCTGTCCACAACCTCAAACAGTCACACTCCAAACTCTACTATGGCCAAGACCAAAGAGCTGTCAATGGACACCAGAAACAAAATTGTAGACCTGCACCAGGCTGGGAAGACGGAATCTGCAATAGGTAAGCAGCTTGGTTTGAAGAAATCAACTGTGGGAGCAATTATTAGGAAATGGAAGACATACAAGACCACTGATAATCTCCCTCGATCTGGGGCTCCACGCAAACTCTCAACCCGTGGGGTCAAAATGATCACAAGAACGGTGAGCAAAAATCCCAGAACCACACGGGGGGACCTAGTGAATGACCTGCAGAGAGCTGGGACCAAAGTAACAAAGCCTACCATCAGTATACACTACGCCGCCAGGGACTCAAATCCTGCAGTGCCAGACGTGTCCCCCTGCTTAAGCCAGTACATGTCCAGGCCCGTCTGAAGTTTGCTAGAGTGCATTTGGATGATCCAGAAGAGGATTGGGAGAATGTCATATGGTCAGATGAAACCAAAATATAACTTTTTGGTAAAAACTCAACTCGTCGTGTTTGGAGGACAAAGAATGCTGAGTTGCATTCAAAGAACACCATACCTACTGTGAAGCATGGGGGTGGAAACATCATGCTTTGGGGCTGTTTTTCTGCAAAGGGACCAGGACGACTGATCCGTGTAAAGGAAAGAATGAATGGGGCCATGTATCGTGAGATTTTGAGTGAAAACCTCCTTCCATCAGCAAGGGCATTGAAGATGAAACGTGGCTGGGTCTTTCAGCATGACAATGATCCCAAACACACCGCCCGGGCAACGAAGGAGTGGCTTCGTAAGAAGCATTTCAAGGTCCTGGAGTGGCCTAGCCAGTCTTTAGATCTCAACCCCATAGAAAATCTTTGGAGGGAGTTGAAAGTCTGTGTGCCCAGCGACAGCCCCAAAACATCACTGCTCTAGAGGAGATCTGCATGGAGGAATGGGCCAAAATACCAGCAACAGTGTGTGAAAACCTTGTGAAGACTTACAGAAAACGTTTGACCTGTGTCATTGCCAACAAAGGGTATATAACAAAGTATTGAGAAACTTTTGTTATTGACCAAATACTTATTTTCCACCATAATTTGCAAATAAATTCATTAAAAATCCTACAATGTGATTTTCTGGAATTTTTTTCCTCATTTTGTCTGTCATAGTTGACGTGTACCTATGATGAAAATTACAGGCCTCTCTCATCTTTTTAAGTGGGATAACTTGCACAATTGGTGGCTGACTAAATACTTTTTTTCCCCACTGTAACTTAATTCTGTAATTTGTATTCCATTTTGCATTGATTAGAGATCTCCCACGTTGGTTGCTACACATGGAGCCACTGTAGACAGTGCCACTTTGATTGGCCGACAATAACAACAAATGCATTAAACCCGTGTAGGCTACGGTATGTATTTTTATGGGGCGCACATCATAAAAACTACACTGAACAAAAATATCAACGCAACATGCAACAATTTAAACGATTTTACTGAGTTACAGTTCATATAAGGAAATCAGTAAATTTAAATAAATTCATTAAACCCTAATCTATGGATTTCACATGACTGGGAATACAGATATGCATCTGTTGCTCACAGATACCTTTAAAAAAAAGGTAGGGGCGTGGATCAGAAAACCAGTCAGTGTGACCACCATTTTCCTCATACAGCGGAACACATCTCCTTCGCATAAAGTTGATCAGGCTGTTGATTGTGGCCTGTGGAATGTTGTCACACTCCTCTTCAATGGCTGTGCAAAGTTGCTGGATATTGGCGGGAACTAGAGCACACTGTCGTACACGTTGATCCAGAGCATCCCAAACATGCTCAGTGGGTGACATGTCTGGTGAGTATACAGGCCATGGAAGAACTGGGACATTTTCAGCTTCCAGGAATTGTGTACAGGTCTTTGCGACATGGGGCTGTGCATTATCATGCTGAAATATGAGGTAATGTAGGCGGATGAATGGCACAACAATGGGCCTCCGGATCTCGACACGGTATCTCTGTGCATTCAAATTACCGATACAATGCAATTGTGTTCGTTGGCCGTAGCTTATGCCTGCCCATACCATAACCCCACCACCACCATGGGGCACTCTGTTCACAACGTTGACATCAGCAAACCGCTCTTCCACATGACGCCATACACGCTGTGCCATCTGCCCGGTACAGTTGAAACCGGGATTCATCCGTGAAGAGCACACTTCTCCAGCATGCCAGTGGCCATTGAAGTCGGTTATGACGCAAAATTGCAGTCAGTTCAATACCCTGTTGAGGACGACGAGCACGCAGATGAGCAAACCCACAGTTTCATCAGCTGTCCGGGTGGCAAGTCAGTCTCTGTGTGTGTGTGTGTTAGTGGTTGCGTTTGGGGGAGGGGTTAAGTGGGGTCTCTAATGGTGTGTGTGTACAGCTATAAGAAGCGGCAGTGGGGAGGATTAAGTGGGGTCTCTGACTATGTCTTGTACAATGAGGCTTGATGGGTGTGAAAGGCCCATTCCGCCGTAGTAACGAGGCTAATGAATTCAGACTTTAATCGATTGTCTCAGCTCTCTCTGGATTAGATGCAACCTTGCTGGAAGGCGCAGGCAGAGGTGTGTGTTTGTGTGTGTGTGAGAGAGAGACGTTTTGGGAGTGCAAGGGGAGCTGGGGGGGTACCAGTACTCACCCCTGCCTCCCTCCCCTCCATCCCTCTCTCCCTCGCTCCATCCGGGCGAATGAGGGGACAGGAGGATCATCTCCAGTCTAAATGAGATTACAGCTCCTTCAGCTGCTTATCTGGGCTAATGCCAGCCGCCGTGGGGCCAAGCAGGCACAGAAACAGCAGCCAGAGCCCAGCCTGTGTACAGGGGATCAGCCCCGCTCTGCTCTGCCCTGCCCCGCACGACCTAATCCCCCCAGAGATGGGAAGAGGGAGAGAGCGAAGAAGGGGGATGGAGAGAATGTGAAAGAGAGGAAGGGAACAGAGTATAGATAGGGATGCAGGTGGAGAGGTGGTGTGAAGGAGAGGGAGATACTGCGTTTCTGTTGAATAATTATGTTATTGGTGTGTGTGTTTCTCTCCTGTGTGTGTTTGTGTGTGCGTGGGTGTGTTTCTCTCCTGTGTGTTTGTGTGTGTGTCCTACAGGAGGGTCCATCAGCACAATGTCCAGCCTGGCCACTCTGCATGCCCCCCCGGTGCCTGGCCGCCTCCTCCCAATGCCAGCGTGGGTAAAGAGCGCCACCTAGCGGTGGCAGCAGCTCTCTGGGCCCACTTTTTCCCCTTCCTCTGCAGCCTGCGCCTTTCCAACACCCCTCATGCCCAGCTGGCTGACGCTGCCGCAGGTCAGACGCACACACTGGGAGAGGGAGAGAGTGGGAGGAAGGGGGAGGAGGATAAATGTTCACTGTGCACAACAATTTCACATTGTGGGTTGCACACACTAACAATTGTCTTTCTTATAAGATAATATACACTGTCTGCCTTTGTCTCACGGTTTCTCTCTCTCTCTCTCTCGTCAGTGATTTACTCTCAACATCTTGCATCTGTGCTTTGTGTTGAGCATTCAGTGAAAAATCTTTCCGTTACAGCATGACTCTATCAAACTTCTTTGCCATTGTAGTAACCGTAAGGTAACATGGTATGAATGTTGACTCTCTTTTCCAGGTTTTACTCTGTTGGCCTTTGACCTTCCTAGCTCTGCCCCCCAAGACCTCCAGCCCAACCCCATCCAGTCCATCATGCAGTGCTTCGGCTGGGACGACATGCTGCACCCCCTGCTAGTCACTCGCTACCTGCCCCACCTGCTCCAGAACAGGTAACATTACTCCAGTACATTACCCTAGTAAGCAGGGTCTGAACTCCAATAAGAAATGCTTGTTTTTGTTTTCTGTTGCAAAACACTTTGCTACGGAGTTCACTAATGAATACGACCCGGGTGTGGTGGCACACATTGGAGAGGATCATTCTGAGAAAGTTGCTGCACAAAATCACTGACCTACAAATTCCCTTTGCATTCCAAACTACTATCCATCATGTGAGTTTATACAGATTAGCACATCTGTGTAGCGCCTTGCTCCGGTGGAACATAGATATTGAGATAAACTACATTGCAGTCAGACTGCGCAGAATCACTGATCTACAAATCACCTCGCATCCCAAATAACAACTCATTATTCAATCAAGATTATCGATTCTGCGCCTCACCTCACTTGTGTGATTCCCTTAAACACATTTGTTGTCTGTTCTATGTCAAACTGACTCTCTTCACCAGCGAGCTGGTGTATTCAGTGAGTTACGGCTGTGGAGGTTCCGTGTCAGGCTCAGCCCAGACTCTGTCTGTGAGAGCATGGTTCCGCTGTGTTCTGCAGCAGCACATCCACAAGAACCCAGACGGCACCGACAGCAGAGCAGGTACAGAACCTCAAACTAAAACCCTGGACATCCGACCCCTCTCTCCTGAGATAATAATATGCAGTGCATTTGAAAAGTATTCAGACCCCTTCCCCTTTTTCCACATTTTGTTACATTACAGCCTTACACCTTATTTACATGAGTATTCAGACCCTTTGCTATGAGACTCGAAATTGAGCTCAGGTGCATCCTGTTTCCATTGATCATCCTTGAGATGTTTCTACAACTTGATTGGAGTCCACCTGTGGTAAATTCAATTGATTTGGACATGATTTGGAAAGGCACACACCTGTCTATATAAGGTCCCACAGTTGACAGTGCATGTCAGAGCAAAAACCAAGCCATGAGGTCGAAGGAATTGTCCGTAGAGCTCCGAGACAGTATTGTGTCGAGGCACAGATCTGGGGAAGGGTACCAAAACATTTCTGCAGCATTGAAGGTTCCCAAGAACACAGTGGCCTCCATCATTCTTAAATGGAAGAGGTTTGGAACCACCAAGACTCTTCCTAGAGTTGGCCAACTGACCAAACTGAGCAATCGGGGGAGAAGGTCCTTGGTCAGGGAGGTGATGGTCAACCCATGGTCACTCTGACAGAGCTCCAAGTTCCTCTGTGGAGATAGGAGAACTTTCCAGAAGGACAACCATCACTGCAGCACTCCACCAATCAGGCCTTTATGGTAGAGTGGCCAGATGGAAGCCACTCCTCAGTAAAAGGCACTTGACAGCCCGCTTGGAATTTGCCAAAAGGCACCTAAAGGACTCTCAGACCATGAGAAACAAGATTCTCTGGTCTGATGAAACTCTTTGGCCTGAATGCCAAGCTTCACGTCTGGAGGAAACCTGGCACCATCCCTACAGTGAAGCATGGTGGTGGCAGCATCATGTTGTGGGGATGTTTTTCAACGTCAGGGACTGGTATACTAGTCAGGATAGAGGGAAAGCTGAACGGAGCAAAGTACAGAGAGATCCTTGATGAAAACCTGCCCAGAGCGCTCAGGACCTCAGACTGGGGCGAAGGTTCACCTTCCAACAGGACAACAACCCTAAGCACACAGCCAAGACAATGCAGGAGTGGCTTCGGGACAAGTCTCTGAATGTCCTTGAGTGGCCCAGCCAGAGCCCGGACTTGAACCCAATCGAACATCTCTGGAGAGACCTGAAAATAGCTGTGCAGCGACGCTCCCCATCCAACCTGACCGAGCTTGAGAGGATCTGCAGAGAAGAATGGGAGAAACTCCCCAAATACAGGTGTGCCAAGCTTATAGTGTCATACCCAAGAAGACTCTAGGCTGTAATCGCTGCCAAAGGTGCTTCAACAAAGTACTCAGTAAAAGGTCTGAATACTTATGTAAATGTGGTTTTTCAGTTTCTTTTTTTATACATAAGTTTTTTTGCAAAAAAAATCTAAAAACGTGTTTGTCATTATGGGGTATTGTGAGTAGATTGATGAGGAAAAAACCCAATATAATCAATTTTCGAATAAGGCTGTAACATGACAATGTGGAAAAAGTCAAGGTGTCTGAATACTTTCCCGAATGCACTGTATGCCATTTAGCAAACGCTTTTATCCAAAGATACTTAGTCATGCGTGCACACACTGGCCAGGCCTCACTGGTCTCTGTTCAGCAGTCAGCAATGAAAATACATCCTCAGTCAGTTATGCCACATTAAAACACTTGTAACCTACACTTCTTGTCTATTACCATATTAGGATAATTTACCATTAGTTTCCCTTTTTAAGTATGTGTATTTCTGTAAAGTTTTTTCAGTGTTTTGTTGTGGAGATGTAAGTAAGTGTTTATATGTGTGGCTCAGTTGGAGTGTGGCTCTAGAAACACTTAAGGTCGTGGGTTCAGGTCCCATAAGGAACTAGTACACATCCTAAAAATGGCCAGTAGGTCACTTGGCTGCATTTACACAGTGAGCCCAATTTTGATATTTTGCCCAATTATTGGTCTTTTGACCGATCAGATCTTTTGCCAATAATTGGGGCAAAATATCAGAATTGGGTTACCTGTGTAAATACAGTTTTTTGGATAAAAGTTTCTGCTAAGTGGCATATATGATTATTTATTATGTGTTACTGCCTTTTTCCAGGCAGGGCTCTGGAGGAGCAGTTGTCAGAGCTCACTAGGCTCGTATTGAGGCTCCCTGAGGTGGACTCCCTACTGCAGAGGGCTGGGCTGCAGCCTGGAGCCGGCAGCAAGCTAGAGCCCAGGCCTGCTCTGGAGATGTTCATCAAGGTACTACACACACATACAGTGTAACAGGGTAGCACCTCGTCACGCACACACTAACAGGGTAGCACCTCGTCACGCACACACTAACAGGGTAGCACCTCGTCACGCACACACTAACAGGGTAGCACCTCGTCACGCACACACTAACAGGGTAGCACCTCGTCACGCACACACTGTAACAGGGTAGCACCTCGTCACGCACACACTGTAACAGGGTAGCACCTCGTCACGCACACGCATGCGCACAAGGATATTTGCAACATGCAAGATACATACAGTGAGGGAAAAAAGTATTTGATCCCCTGCTGATTTTGTACGTTTGCCCACTGACAAATACATGATCAGTCTATCATTTTAATGGTAGGTTTATTTGAACAGTGAGAGACAGAATAACAACAAAAAAATCCAGAAAAACGGATGTAAAAAATGTTATAAATTGATTAGCATTTTAATGAGGGAAATAAGTATTTGACCCCTCTGCAAAACATGACTTAGTACTTGGTGGCAAAACCCTTGTTGGCAATCACAGAGGCCAGACATTCCTTGTAGTTGGCCACCAGGTTTGCACACATCTCAGGAGGGATTTTGTTCCACTCTTCTCTGCATATCTTCTCCAAGTCATTAAGGTTTCGAGGCTGACGTTTGGCAACTCGAACCTTCAGCTCCCTCCACAGATTTTCTATGGGATTAAGGTCTGGAGACTGGCTAGGCCACTCCAGGACCTTAATGTGCTTCTTCTTGAGCCATTCCTTTGTTGCCTTGGCCATGTGTTTTGGGTCATTGTCATGCTGGAATACCCATCCACGACCCATTTTCAATGCCCTGACTGAGGGAAGGAGGTTCTCACCCAAGATTTGACGGTACATGGCCCCGTCCATCGTCCCTTTGATGCGGTGAAGTTGTCCTGTCCCCTTAGCAGAAAAACACCCCCAAAGCATAATGTTTCCACCTCCATGTTTGACAGTGGGGATGGTGTTCTTGGGGTCATAGGCAGCATTCCTCCTCCTCCAAACACGGCGAGTTGAGTTGATGCCAAAGAGCTCGATTTTGGTCTCATCTGACCACAACACTTTCACCCAGTTCTCCTCTGAATCATTCAGATGTTCATTGGCAAACTTCAGACGGGCCTGTATATGTGCTTTCTTGAGCAGGGGGACCTTGCGGGCACTGCAGGATTTCAGTCCTTCACGGCATAGTGTGTTACCAATTGTTTTCTTGGTGACTATGGTCCCAGCTGCCTTGAGATCATTGACAAGATCCTCCCGTGTAGTTCTGGGCTGATTCCTCACCGTTCTCATGATCATTGCAACTCCACGAGGTGAGATCTTGCATGGAGCCCCAGGCCGAGGGAGATTGACAGTTATTTTGTGTTTCTTCCATTTGCGAATAATCGCACCAACTGTTGTCACCTCACCAAGCTGCTTGGCGATGGTATTGTAGCCCATTCCAGCCTTGTGTAGGTCTACAATCTTGTCCCTGACATCCTTGGAGAGCTCTTTGGTGTCACGAGAATTTCAATCTCTAATTAAACTCAATGCTTTGAATAATTCCCAGAGGGTGTAAGGCTCTGGTTTTAATCATGAATTATACAAAGGTCCACAACCAGCAAGGATGATCTGTATTATTTAATCATGGAGAGCTCTCCCCCCAAAACACATATACAGTCTTTATATATGCCTTCACACAAAGGAACTTTGCTCCGCCCACCTTTTAGGCGGCCTGTACATTTCCACAGTATAGAATGATTAACTAGTTTCTAAGTCCCCTCCCTGTTGGAATGTTTGTCTCAGCAGTTTCTCACCCCCTCTGTTAGTGGGTTTATAATGATAACCCTAACACAGTTCACACAGTCATCATCAATATTGGGGTTAACAATTTTAGTCATAATCATAATTCCTCTATTATTTGGTCTTGGCCATGGTGGAGAGTTTGGAATCTGATTGATTGATTGCTTCTGTGGACAGGTGTCTTTTATACAGGGAACAAGCTGAGATTAGGAGCACTCCCTTTAAGAGTGTGCTCCTAATCTCAGCTCGTTACCTGTATAAAAGACACCTGGGAGCCAGAAATCTTTCTGATTGAGAGGGGGTCAAATACTTATTTCCCTCATTAAAATGCAAATCAATTTATAACATTTTTGACATGCGTTTTTCTGGATTTTTTTGTTGTTATTCTGTCTCTCACTGTTCAAATAAATTAAAATTATAGACTGATAATTTCTTTGTCAGTGGGCAAACGTACAAAATCAGCAGGGGATCAAATACTTTTTTTCCTCACTGTACAGGTAACTGCTAAAATAATAATAATAATTAATTATAATATGCCATTTAGCAGACGCTTTTATCCAAAGCGACTTACAGTCATGCGTGCATAAATTTTTTTTTTTGGTGTGTATGGAAAGACTTGAGTAAACGAGGGATACAAAGTATATTGAAAGCAGGTGCTTCCACACAGGTGTGGTCCTGAGTTAATTAAGCAATTAATATCCCATCATGCTTAGGGTCATGTATAAACATGCCCATTATTTTGGCTACCATGGCTAGAAGAAGAGATCTCTGTGACTTTGAAAGAGGAGTCTCAAAGTAGCATGGGGTGTTTAAAGGGTGTGTTTGTGTGTGCGTGTCTCAATCACCAGATCCCAACCCAATTGAACACTTATGGGAGATTCTGGAGCGGCGCCTGAAACTGCGTTTTCCACCACCATCAACAAAATACCAAATGATGGAATTTATCTTGGAAGAATGGTGTCGCATCCCTCCAATAGAGTTCCAGACCTTTGTAGAATCTATGCCAAGGGGCATTGAAGCTGTTCTGGCTTGTGGTGGCCCAACGCCCTATTAAGACACTTTATGTTGGTGTTTCCTTTATTTTGGCAGTTACGTGTATATCAACAGCAAACGCTGAAAGGCAAGTCTGCATTTCCATACAAATACACCTTAAATACATTGTCGCTTTTGTATTTTTCTCTCTCAGGCTGTGGGGCGTGTGTACAGTGGGCTGCAGGTGTTGTCTGAGCGTTCTGTCATGGTCGCCCGTGCTCTGGACTACACAGGGGACATCATGAAGTATATCAAACCCTACCTGGTCAATAAGAGTCCTCAGGAGGGGCTGCTGCTGGCCTACTGGGCTGTGGGTGGGTATATGCATCACTGAGGCCTACCCCTATCCCCCTAGGCATTTGTGTGAATCTGTAAGGACTGGATAAGTGTAAGGTGGAGCTATAACCATATTGCTTCTACCTATTCAATCATTTTGGATCTCCACAAGTGCATAGAAAATATATTGGCTAGAGGTCAATTTGGTATTGGGCGAGAAGGAATCAGCATGTTTGAGAGTATCAGGATATGAACAAGATGAGCAATTCTGCCCAGTGACTTGCTTCGAGTCTATCTCCTCAAACACGTTGAATGTCTGTCATCCTTGGTGTTGACTGTGTGTGTGCGTGTGTTCTCAGGGTGCGTGGTGAAGCACTGGAGTCCCCTACTGGCCACCTCCAAGGCCCAGCAGCTGCTGTTCAACATTGTCAACGGGCTGCTCCTCCCTAACTCTCTGTCCGGGTTGGACAAGGCCTTGAGGGACAGCCTGCCCCTCTACCTGCAGGTGGGGGACACACGCGCACACACACCTGCGAACACACACACATGCAAGCACACTCTCGCACACAGACACACATACCCACACACACACACTCCCTCTACCTAAACATCATGTTACTGACTACCCCAGTTTGGATACTTCAGAAAAAAAGTATTGTTTGGATACTTCCAAAAGTACTAACAGGGTTGGAGGGGAGGAAAGAAAAATGTAGAGATATTTTCCATCAGCATTAGTAATACTATACTAACTGACCTTCTCTCTGTCTCTCCTGTTTCACTCCTTTCCTCCCCTCCAGGGTCTGTCTATAGCAGCCAGTATGTCTCAGTCTCAGGGGGCCTACCTGAAGAAGCAGCTCCGCGATGTCATCTCCAAGTACCTGGACCACTTCCTGCCTGCCACACCATCGGTTGGGGCCATAGCCAATCACCCGGTGCTGCTGGCAGCCTGCGAATCCACGCCCACCCCGTGTGGGGCAGTGCTGAGAAGGAGCATCCTGCAGGTGATCAGGTAAGATTCTGACGCTCTGGGTAGAGATTGCTCTTAGGTACAGATCCAGGATCAGTTAACCCTGCCCAAATCCTCACCTTTAATAATTAGGGAGGGGAATGCAAAGCCAAACTGACCTTGGAGCAGTGTCTCAGGACAACTTCATCCTACTCCACCTTGACAGCCTCCTTAGAGCATCTACTAAATGGCCAGACATTACTGGCTCTGTGTCATACCTCTTCTATGTCTCTCCATAGTGAGAACTTCCTGCAGTTCAAAGTCCACGCCCCTCCTCCCCGCCTGGCCACGGTCCTGGCCTTCCTATTAGAGCTGCTGAGACGGAACAATGACAATGACCCCGCCCTACTCACCATGCCCCTCCCCTCTCTGCTCCGCTGCCTGAAACTTGTCAACGAGCCTCATGGTGAGAGTACACAAATAAAGACACGTATACACAGTAATCCTATTTGTGAACAATATGTGAACATGCTTGCTCCTATGGGTAGTGTTTTTATAGGTTTTCGTGTGTGTGCATGTGGTAACTAGTCTAACAGCAGCTGTGCGTTCACAGTGAGGAGGACCAGTACAGAGGCCCTGCAGCTGGTGGTGGGGAGATGTTCAGTCGCCGCAGGGGATGCACCATGTAACCAGACCGTCACTGTTCTACGGTGAGTGACACCAACTACCGTAGCCTTTACTCTTCCTCTCTGCACTTGACTCGTGTCTATTATTGTGCACCGTAGCAAAATGTTTTCAAACGTTGGACAAGTTCGTATAATACCTCCCTGTTTCACTCAGTTCCCAACATTTTCTTCCATTTCGTGCCCTACTGAACATGACACTGTTCTAGGGCAGCCATGCTATTGACCATCACGGTTAGACATTTTTATATATCTGCAATGCTTTGTGTGTGTGTGTGTGTATAAAGCATGTACATTGGTGTTACAGTATCTCTATGTCTTACTGTGTCTGTGTGTTCAGGTCCTTTGTGGAGGAGAACGAGGGGGTGTATGACAGACAGGTGTACAGTGTTCTGGAGACGATAGCGGTTCTGGACAGTCATGTGGTCCAGGTCCTGATCCCTGTTCTGTCGCTGAGTCTGAGAAATACAGAACACAAGAGAGGACTGGGCAAGAACACCACACTGAGGTAGAGTTCTAAACCCATTCCCAACCACTAGTCTAACCTAACCTAGACATAATCCTATTTTTATGGAACCATTATCGCACGGTATAAATTGCGTGGTGGCCTATGTGGGGAAAACATCTGAAGTGTCGGGAATATTAAAATGCTTTACAGTAGTCAAAAAACCTTCATTACAGATACCAAACCACATCATTAATAAAAACACACAACCCCCAACACACATACATATATATATATATATACACACACACACAGTGGGGAGAACAAGTATTTGATACACTGCCAATTTTGCAGGTTTTCCTACTTACAAAGCATGTAGAGGTCTGTAATTTTTATCATAGGTACACTTCAACAATCTAAAACAAAAATCCAGAAAATCACATTGTATGATTTTTAAGTAATTAATTTGCATTTTATTGCATGACATAAGTATTTGATCACCTACCAACCAGTAAGAATTCCGGCTCTCACAGACCTGTTAGTTTTTCTTTAAGAAGCCCTCCTGTTCTCCACTCATTACCTGTATTAACTGCACCTGTTTGAACTCGTTACCTGTATAAAAGACACCTGTCCACACACTCAATCAAACAGACTCCAACCTCTCCACAATGGCCAAGACCAGAGAGCTGTGTAAGGACATCAGGGATACAATTGTAGACCTGCACAAGGCTGGGATGGGATACAGGACAATAGGCAAGCAGCTTGGTGAGAAGGCAACAACTGTTGGCTCAATTATTAGAAAATGGAAGAAGTTCAAGATGACGGTCAATCACCCTCGGTCTGGGGCTCCATGCAAGATCTCACCTCGTGGGGCATCAATGATCATGAGGAAGGTGAGAATTCAGCCCAGAACTACACGGCAGGACCTGGTCAATGACCTGAAGAGAGCTGGGACCACAGTCTCAAAGAAAACCATTAGTAACACACTACGCCGTCATGGATTAAAATCCTGCAGCGCACGCAAGGTCCCCCTGCTCAAGCCAGCGCATGTCCAGGCCCGTCTGAAGTTTGCCAATGACCATCTGGATGATCCAGAGGAGGAATGGGAGAAGTTCATGTGGTCTGATGAGACAAAAATAGAGCTTTTTGGTCTAAAACACCATCCCAACTGTGAAGAATGGAGGTGGAAACATCATTCTTTGGGGATGCTTTTCTGCAAAGGGGACAGGACGACTGCACAGTATTGAGGGGAGGATGGATGGGGCCATGTATCGCGAGATCTTGGCCAACAACCTCCTTCCCTCAGTAAGAACATTGAAGATGGGTCGTAGCTGGGTCTTCCAGCATGACAACGACCCGAAACACACAGCCAGGGCAACTAAGGAGTGGCTCCGTAAGAAGCATCTCAAGGTCCTGGAGTGGCCTAGCCAGTCTCCAGACCTGAACCCAATGGAACATCTTTGGAGGGAGCTGAAAGTCCGTATTGCCCAGCGACAGCCCCGAAACCTGAAGGATCTGGAGAAGGTCTGTATGGAGGAGTGGGCCAAAATCCCTGCTGCAGTGTGTGCAAACCTGGTCAAGACCTACAGGAAACATATGATCTCTGTAATTGCAAACAAAGGTTTCTGTACCAAATATTAAGTTCTGCTTTTCTGATGTATCAAATACTTATGTCATGCAATAAAATTCAAATTAATTACTTAAAAATCATACAATGTGATTTTCTGGATTTTTGTTTTAGATTCCGTCTCTCACAGTTGAAGTGTACCTATGATAAAAAATTACAGACCTCTACATGCTTTGTAAGTAGGAAAACCTGCAAAATCGGCAGTGTATCAAATACTTGTTCTCCCCACTGTGTGTGTATATATATATATATTACACACACACACACACACACACACACACACAAACACACAGTTGAAGTCGGAAGTTTACATACACCTTAGCCAAATACATTTAAACTCAGTTTTCCACAATTCCTGACATTTAATCCTAGTAAAAATTCCCTGTCTTAAGTCAGTTAGGATCACCACTTTATTTTAAGAATGTGAAATGTCAGAATAATAGTAGAGAGAATGATTTATTTCAGCTTTTATTTATTTAATCACATTCCCAGTGGGTCAGAAGTTTACATACACTCAATTAGTATTTGGTAGCATTGCCTTTAAATAGTTTAACTTGGGTCAAACGTTTCGGGTAGCCTTCCACAAGCTTCCCACAATAAGTTGGGTGAATTTTGGCCCATTCCTCCTGACAGAGCTGGTGTAACTGAGTCAGGTTTGTAGGCCTCCTTGCTCGCACATGCTTTTTCAGTTCTGCCCACACATTTTCTATAGGATTGAGGTCAGGGCTTTGTGATGGCCACTCCAATACCTTGACTTTGTTGTCCTTAAGCCATTTTGCCACAACTTTGGAAGTATGCTTGGGGTCATTGTCCATTTGGAAGACCCATTTGCGACCAAGCTTTAACTTCCTGACTGAGGTCTTAAGATGTTGCTTCAATATATCCACATCATTTTCCTTCCTCATGATGCCATCTATTTTGTGAAGTGCACCAGTCCCTCCTGCAGCAAAGCACCCCCACAGCATGATGCTGCCACCCCCATGCTTCATGGTTGGGATGGTTTTCTTCGGCTTGCAAGCAACCCCCTTTTTCCTCCAAACATAACGATGATCATTATGGCCAAACAGTTCTATTTTTGTTTCATCAGACCAGAGACATTTCTCCAAAAAGTACGATCTTTGTCCCCATGTGCAGTTGTAAACCGTAGTCTGGCTTTTTTATGGCGGTTTTGGAGCTGTGGCTTCTTCCTTGCTGTGCGGCCTTTCAGGTTATGTCGATATAGGACTCGTTTTACTGTGGATATATATACTTTTGTACCTGTTTCCTCCAGCATCTTCACAAGGTCCTTTGCTGTTGTTCTGGGATTGATTTGCACTTTTCGCACCAAAGTACGTTCATCTCGAGGAGACAGAACTCGTCTCCTTCCTGAGCGGTATGATGGCTGCGTGGTCCCATGGTGTTTGTACTTGCGTACTATTGTTTGTACAAATGAAGGTGGTACATTCAGGCGTTTGGAAATTGCTCCCAAGGATGAACCAGACTTGTGGAGGTCTACAATTATTTTTTTGAGGTCTTGGCTGATTTTCTTTAGATTTTCCCATGATGTCAAGCAAAGAGGCACTGAGTTTGAAGGTAGGCCTTGAAATACATCCACAGGTACACCTCCAATTGTACTCAAATGATGTCAATTAGCCTATCAGAAGCTTCTAAAGCCATGACATCCTTTTCTGGAATTTTCCAAGCTGTTTAAAGGCACAGTCAACTTAGTGTATGTAAACTTCTGACCCACTGGAATTGAGATACAGTGAAATAATCTGTCTGTAAACAATTGTTGGAAAAATTACTTGTGTCATGCACAAAGTAGATGTCCTAACCGACTTGACAAAACTATAGATTATTAAAAAGAAATTTGTGGAGAGGTTTAAAAACGAGTTTTAACGACTCCAACCTAAGTGTATGTAAACTTCCGACTTCAACTGTATACACAGTGCATTCGGAAAGTATTCAGACCCCTTTCTTTTTTCCATATTGTTACGTTACAGCCTTATTCTAAAATTGATTAAATTATTTTTTCCCCTCATCAATCTACACACAATACCCCATAATGACAAAGTCAAAACAGGTTCTTAGAAATGTTTGCAAATGTATTTTTTTTTTAAACGGATACGTTATTTACATAAGTATTCAGACCCGAAATTACGCTCAGGTGCATCCTGTTTCAATTGATCATCCTTGACATGTTTCTACAACTTGATTGGAGTCCACCTGTGGTAAATTCAATTGATTGGACATGATTTGGAAAGGCACACACCTGTCTATATAAGATCCCACAGTTGACAGTGCATGTCAGAGCAAAAATCAAGCCATGAGGTCAAAGGAATTGTCTGTAGAGCTCCGAGACAGGATTGTGTCGAGGCACAGATCTGGGGAAGGGTACTAAAACATTTCTGCAGTATTTAAGGTCCCCAAGAACACAGTGGCCTCCATCATTCTTAAATGGAAGAAGTTTGGAACCACCAAGACTCTTCCTAGAGCTGGCCGCCCGGCCAAACTGAGCAATCGGGGGAGAAGGTCCTTGGTCAGGGAGGTGACCAAGAACCCGATGACAGAGCTCCAGAGTTCCTCTGTGGAGATGGGAGAACCTTCCAGAAAGACAACCATCTCTGTAGCACTCCACCAATCAGGCCTTTTATGGTAGAGTGGCCAGACGGAAGCCACACCTCAGTAAAAGGCACATGACATCCCGCTTGGAGTTTGCCAAAAGGCACCTAAAGGACTCTGACCATGAGAAACAAGATTCTCTGGTCTGATGAAACCAAGATTGAACTCTTTGGCCTGAATGCCAAGTGTCACGTCTGGAGGAAACGTGGCAGCATCCCTACGGTGAAGCATGGTGGTGGCAGCATCATGCTGTGGGGATGTTTTTCAGCGGCAGGGACTGGGAGACTAGGGAAAGTCAGGATCGAGGGAAAGTTGAACGGCGCAAAGTACAGAGAGATCCTTGATGAAAACATGCTCAGGACCTCAGACGGTGGCGAAGGTTCACCTTCCAACAAGACAACGACCCTAAGCATACAGCCAAGACAACGCAGGAGTGGCTTCGGGACAAGTCTCTGAATGTCCTTGAGTGGCCCAGCCAGAACCCGATCAAACATCTCTGGAGAGACTTGAAAATAGCTGTGCAGCGACGCTCCCCATCCAACCTGACAGAGCTTGAGAGGATCTGCAGAGAAGAATGGGAGAAATACAGGTGTGCAAAGCTTGTAGTCATACCCAAGAAGATTCAAGGCTGTAATCGCTGTAAAAGGCGCTTCAACAAAGTACTGAGTAAAGGATCTGAATACTTATGTAAATGTGATATTTCCGTTTTTTATTTGTAATAAATTTGCAAACATTTCTAAAAACCTGTTTTTGCTTTTTTCATTATGGGGTATTGTGTGTAGATTGATGAGTGGGAAAAAACAATGTTATCAATTTTAGAATAAGGCTGTAATGTAATTTTGGGGGGAAAACGTCAAGGGGTCTGAATACTTTCCAAATGCACTGCATATATACGGTGAACCCTGATGCAGTGTTCAGTGACACAGTCAACTCTTTGTATGAAATATACTGGATCTTGTGCGGTGACATCTTTGAGTCATTTTGTGACCCCCCTCTCACTCACACTCTCTGCATGTGTGACAGGAATGCATACAGGAATTTGCTGACCCTGCTTGGGGACGGTGGTCAGGCGGAGATCATCAGCCTGGAGGAGGACTGACCCCAGGACCAGGTCACCATGCTGTTGACCCCAACACCACTGGGCTTGAAATTAATGTATATACATATACATAATGTATAGAAATTGTCCTGTTGGAGTTATACAGATCATAATTTATGATCAAGTTTCCATCTTCACGTTGAAATATTTTTCAAAAAGGTGTTAAGAAATTAAATAATGTGCTGAAATTTTTTTTGTCGGATTTCAGTTTCCTAATTTCACAGGCTTGGAACATAGAGATAGAAGAACAACATATTATACAGTGGGGAAAAAAAGTATTTAGTCAGCCACCAATTGTGCAAGTTCTCCCACTTAGAAAGATGAGAGAGGCCTGTAATTTTCATCATAGGTACACGTAAACTATGACAGACAAAATGAGAAAAAAAATCCGGAAAATCACATTGTAGGATTTTTTATGATTTTATTTGCAAATTATGGTGGAAAATAAGTATTTGGTCAATAACAAAAGTTTCTCAATACTTTGTTATATATATACCCTTTGTTGGCAATGACACAGGTCAAACGTTTTCTGTAAGTCTTCACATAGTTTTCACACACTGTTGCTGGTATTTTGGCCCATTCCTCCATGCAGATCTCCTCTAGAGCAGTGATGTTTTGGGGCTGTCGCTGGGCAACACGGACTTTCAACTCCCTCCAAAGATTTTCTATGGGGTTGAGATCTGGAGACTGGCTAGGCCACTCCAGGACCTTGAAATGCTTCTTACGAAGCCACTCCTTCGTTGCCCGGGCGGTGTGTTTGGGATCATTGTCATGCTGAAAGACCCAGCCACGTTTCATCTTCAATGCCCTTGCTGATGGAAGGAGGTTTTTACTCAAAATCTCACGATACATGGCCCCATTCCTTCTTTCCTTTACACGGATCAGTCGTTCTGGTCCCTTTGCAGAAAAACAGCCCCAAAGCATGATGTTTCCACCCCCATGCTTCACAGTAGGTATGGTGTTCTTTGGATGCAACTCAGCATTCTTTGTCCTCCAAACACGACGAGTTGAGTTTTTACCAAAAAGTTCTATTTTGGTTTCATCTGACCATATGACATTCTCCCAATCCTCTTCTGGATCATCCAAATGCACTCTAGCAAACTTCAGACGGGCCTGGACATGTACTGGCTTAAGCAGGGGGACACGTCTTGCACTGCAGGATTTGAGTCCCTGGCGGCGTAGTGTGTTACTGGTGGTAGGCTTTGTTACTTTGGTCCCATCTCTCTGCAGGTCATTCACTAGGTCCCCCCGTGTGGTTCTGGGATTTTTGCTCACCGTTATTGTGATAATTTTGACCCCACGGGGTGAGATCTTGCGTGGAGCCCCAGATCGAGGGAGATTATCAGTGGTCTCTGAGATCTCCTGAGTGGCGCAGTGGTCTAAGGCACTGCATCGCAGTGCTAACTGTGTCACTAGAGATCCTGGTTCGAATCCAGGCTCTGTCGCAGCCGGCCGCGACCGGGAGACTCATGGGCGGCGCACAATTGGCCCAGCGTCGTCCAGGGTAGGGTAGGGGAGGGGAGGGAATGGCCGGCAGGGATATAGCTCAGTTGATAGAGCATGGCGTTTGCAACGCCAGGGTTGTGGGTTCGATTCCCACGGGGGGCCAGTATAAAAAAAAAACACAAAAAAAATGTATTCACTAACTGTAAGTCGCTCTGGATAAGAGCGTCTGCTAAATGACTAAAATGTAAATGTAAATGTAAATGTAAATGTAATGTAATGTCTTGTATGTCTTCCATTTCCTAATAATTGCTCCCACAGTTGATTTCTTCAAACCAAGCTGCTTACCTATTGCAGATTCAGTCTTCTCAGCCTGGTGCAGGTCTACAATTTTGTTTCTGGTGTCCTTTGACAGCTCTTTGGTCTTGGCCATAGTGGAGTTTGGAGTGTGACTGTTTGAGGTTGTGGACAGGTGTCTTTTATACTGATAACAAGTTTAAACAGGTGCCATTAATACAGGTAACGAGTGGAGGACAGAGGAGCCTCTTAAAGAAGAAGTTACAGGTCTGTGAGAGCCAGAAATCTTGCTTGTTTGTAGGTGACCAAATACTTATTTTCCACCATCATTTGCAAATAAATTCATAAAAAATCCTACAATGTGATTTTCTGGATTTTTTTCCTCAAATTGTCTGTCATAGTTGACGTGTACCTATGATGAAAATTACAGGCCTCTCTCATCTTTTTAAGTGGGAGAACTTGCACAATTGGTGGCTGACTAAATACTTTTTTCCCCCACTGTACATTTAACTATTTATATGGTGTGATAGTAACTACTGATAGTAGACAAATAGGATCTCTGTGTGCTAATGCACTCTTTGTGTTGGCCCAACTTTACAGGCAGAACCACCTCCTTTCCTGACACTGTATCCCTCATCAGATACAGCCAGAGTCCGAAAGATTACTTCTGCTTTTCCCATTCCCTTTTTCCTTTGCAATCAGGCTTCATTTCAGCAGTCATAATTTCACGCCTGGTCCAACTTGAGGTGTCCTAAAAAAAATGCACCCCCCTCCCCAATGTAAAAAATATTTTCACATGACCCTCCCCTTGTACTGTAGTTATTTTTTGGCATACTCTCCCCCTCATAGAATTAACTCAAAATAATGTTAACAACCACAAATAAAAATAACTATAGCGACCATGTGTTTATAAATGTGGATATTGACTTTAACGCTTCAGCATGCTTTTGTGGCACAATTGATGCCATGCGGGGCTACGGGACAGAAGTTTCAGGGTTCGCCGACCACCACAGACAAGCTCATTCTCCCTGTCTATTTTATTACACTACGATCAGAGCCAGCTGCAGACAATGATCAGCTAGGGGGAAATCTGATTTAAGAAATGTTGACGCTATATTTACAATTCTATAAAATATATGCAACGAATGATCCACCAACAGGTTTCTGTGCCAATGCACCACACAACCAATAGGTGAAGCATACCGGCTTCAGTATCATGGTTTGCTTTTTAAACACCACAATCAAATAGACTGTGTCAATCTAGACAAACACAAAATAGGCCTTCATCCCTCCCTACCTTGTAGGTCTACCCAGTATCGAAGGCTTGGCTTGACAGTCTCCGATTGTCATTAAACTTTTTTGTTTTGTAACATGTCTTTCCATTCATCCAATGGACACTGCACAGTTTGGATGCTGGAATTATATTTTAGACGAAAGTGCGCAGGCAGCCTACAGGAGACTTCTGAAGTAATCAGATTAAAACATTGTGACTGGTTGTGTTTATGCCACATATAAAAGGCAATGAATAAACTCTAAAAGTAAAATGACAAATATTTAGGCTATATTGAAGCATTAGATTCTAGATGCATGAAGAATAGCTGCTCAGATCAGAGAGGAGGCAGTGCGTGTTGAGCTTTCCTGAATAACTGGGCCTGCTGGGAGTCACATTATTATAGGACGACATGAGAGAATGATGATCCGCAACAAGAGAGCGCATCTCAGTATCTGAAGTAGAAATACAGCCAGACTGGCCTGCTACTGTGCCTTTCTAGACCTTATAAACTGTGGAGAGTAGACCCGCAACTGATCCAGATGGAGTGAAACATTCAAATCGCAGGGCTTTTGCACCGTTATTCAAATGACATTTTCACTGCAGTCTAGGGTAGAAGTTTGAACTCACTTGAAAACAATAATGCAATTATTCATTGCATTGTGGTGTTGTAGGCTAGTCTATGTAGGATAATTATATTGTCCCTAAACAAGCTCAATAGGGGAGCTTTTTGAGCTGCGTCCATCTTTCATGCTCAGTGATGCACCTCACCTGTCCACTTTCTATCAGCTATTCCTCTCTGTTATGTAGATCTATATTGAATATTGGTGCAGCTTTGAATGATTGTATGTGTGCTATGATTGCTAGGTAGCCTATTGAGTACCACAGTATGAGTCATTAAACACGGAAATGGTTCCAATCGTTTTTTCACCATTCATGTTTCCATCTGGGATTTTAGAACTACTTCATATAAGGTCTTGGTTTCATGTGGGCTTATCCTAGCGTGACGTTTTGATAACCGCGCAAATCTCTCTCAGACAAGGTAACTTTTATCAATAATTAGCATTGCAAATATTTTAGAGTAAATTGAGGCTAATATATTGATAAAACTCACCTTGTCCGAGAGAGAATGACATGGTTATCAAAACGTCACGCCAAGGTAAGCCTACACCAAACACACAATTAATTGTGAAAAATGAATGGCGGATAAACCATGGGAATCATTTGTTTTTATGCATATGATGCGTCCACTGTGGCAGACTTGCAGATCTGGACAAACGGTCCACCTTCCACTATTGTCACTATGAATGGTAGATAGAGGGCAGCATAGACAGACTGGTAGAGAAGACGGAGTATGCCAAACATTAAAGAACACCGCCCCGCCCCGCTCTAATTACATTGGAAACCAGTTTATAATAACAATACGGCACCTCGGGGGTTTGTGGTATATGGCCAATATACCACGCCTATGGGCTGTATCCAGGCACTCCGCGTTGCGTTGTGTGTAAGAACAGCCCTTAGCCGTGGTATATTGGCCATATACTACAAACCCCCGAGGTGCCGTATTGTTATTATAAACTGGTTTCCAATGTAATTAGAGCAATACAAATACATGTTTTGTCATACCCGTGGTATATGATACAGTGGGGGAAAAAAAGTATTTAGTCAGCCACCAATTGTGCAAGTTCTCCCACTTAAAAAGATGAGAGAGGCATGTAATTTTCATCATAGGTACACGTCAACTATGACAGACATTGAGGGAAAAAAATCCAGAAAATCACATTGTAGGATTTTTTATGAATTTATTTGCAAATTATGGTGGAAAATAAGTATTTGGTCACCTACAAACAAGCAAGATTTCTGGCTCTCACAGACCTGTAACTTCTTCTTTAAGAGGCTCCTCTGTCCTCCACTCGTTACCTGTATTAATGGCACCTGTTTGAACTTGTTATCAGTATAAAAGACACCTGTCCACAACCTCAAACAGTCACACTCCAAACTCCACTATGGCCAAGACCAAAGAGCTGTCAAAGGACACCAGAAACAAAATTGTAGACCTGCACCAGGCTGGGAAGACTGAATCTGCAATAGGTAAGCAGCTTGGTTTGAAGAAAACAACTGTGGGAGCAATTATTAGGAAATGGAAGACATACAAGACCACTGATAATCTCCCTCGATCTAGGGCTCCACGCAAGATCTCACCCCGTGGGGTCAAAATGATCACAAGAACGGTGAGCAAAAATCCCAGAACCACACGGGGGGACCTAGTGAATGACCTGCAGAGAGCTGGGACCAAAGTAACAAAGCCTACCATCAGTAACACACTACGCCGCCAGGGACTCAAATCCTGCAGTGCCAGACGTGTCCCCCTGCTTAAGCCAGTACATGTCCAGGCCCGTCTGAAGTTTGCTAGAGTTCATTTGGATGATCCAGAAGAGGATTGGGAGAATGTCATATGGTCAGATGAAACCAAAATAGAACTTTTAGGTAAATACTCAACTCGTCGTGTTTGGAGGACAAAGAATGCTGAGTTGCATCCAAAGAACACCATACCTACTGTGAAGCATGGGGGTGGAAACATCATGCTTTGGGGCTGTTTTTCTGCAAAGGGACCAGGATGACTGCTCCGTGTAAAGGAAAGAATGAATGGGGCCATGTATCGTGAGATTTTGAGTGAAAACCTCCTTCCATCAGCAAGGGCATTGAAGATGAAACGTGGCTGGGTCTTTCAGCATGACAATGATCCCAAACACACCGCCCGGGCAACGAAGGAGTGGCTTCGTAAGAAGCATTTCAAGGTCCTGGAGTGGCCTAGCCAGTCTCCAGATCTCAACCCCATAGAAAATCTTTGGAGGGAGTTGAAAGTCCGTGTTGCCCAGCGACACAGACTTTCAACATCACTGCTCTAGAGGAGATCTGCATGGAGGAATGGGCCAAAATACCAGCAACAGTGTGTGAAAACCTTGTGAAGACTTACAGAAAACGTTTGACCTGTGTCATTGCCAACAAAGGGTATATAACAAAGTATTGAGAAACTTTTGTTATTGATCAAATACTTATTTTCCACCATAATTTGCAAATAAATTCATTAAAAATCCTACAATGTGATTTTCTGGATTTTTTTTCCGCATTTTGTCTGTCATAGTTGACATGTACATATGATGAAAATTACAGGCCTCTCTCATCTTTTTAAGTGGGAGAACTTGCACAATTGGTGGCTGACTAAATACTTTTTCCCCCCACTGTATACCACGGCTGTCAGCCAATTAGCATTCAGGGCTCGAACCACCCAGTTTATAATAATAGTTAGTGTGTGGAAAAGCGTAGTGCCTAAGGGAAGTACCAAAACACCTTGATATTGGGGAGGTGCATGCAAGCAGATGAGAAAATTGGGTAAGGATAGAATGAATTCTATAGTAAAGCCTGCAAAAGGGAGATTGTAAACCAGGGGAAAAGCGCACTACCCTCCCCTGTGCCCATTAAAAAAACCACTACCCCCCCCCCCCCCCCCCAGTAAATGTCCTACTGTCCCTAAGAAAATACGGGCAGATGAACAACTTGCTCGATTCAACTTATTATGGGCTTTATTGATACAGTACCATACCTCTTTATTCTGAAAACTAAGACATGTTTTTAAAGTACTCTTTCTCACACTTCCTCACTGCTGGAGGCTGGTGGAGTTACGGAATTACTTTAGTCTTATTTTTTGGTCAAAGGAAAACAAGATGTTTTGAAAATGTCATAATACAGTGGTTCTCCTACATACAGTATGTTGAGTATATGCACTGTATGATAACAGTGGGTCAGACACATTCATTGAACTGTTAAACAGTCTTAAATCCTGAGCTTGAATAGAAAACACACGCTCAAGAAAGAGTAAGATGGGTCCACAGTTCACACAACAGGTTTCAACTGAAATGTCCTTGGATGGGTCCATTGGCTTTGTATGAAGTAGATGGGTTATGGTAAGTAGTAAGTAAGTACAGCTAGTTAGAGTCAATAGCCCTATAGTGCATTAGTAAAAGAGGGAGCCGTTTCACTCCGTAGAGAGCTCCAGCATTGCGATCTTCTGTTCTGCACCAGTTTGACTAGAGCAGCCCTTTATTCAACCAGTCATCTGAGCAGAGTTGGGGTCAATTCCATGTTAATTCAGGATATATTATTCCAATCAATATCTACTATTCTCAATGCTTTTCAATTAGCAGAAATTGTAATCAGAATTTCTGTTTACTTCCTGAATTGACTGAAGTGAAATGGAATTGACACCCACCCTGCAGCTGATGGAAGATCAGTCTATCATTACAGGGTAGCTGTATATGAATAGGGAACCTCCTCAATGTCCTCTTGAGGACCCTCCTTTTTCCATTCAGGGCCACGTTTTTTTCAGTTCATAGGTAGTGTCAAGTCCTCAGGATGGGCAGTGACGCCTGCACTTGAAGTGGTTAGGTTGGGATCCTGACACTGGGGAAGATGTGGGTAATCTTATATGGGTGGCAATAGTGTGTGTGTTTAGTGTAGATATTGTGTGTATGCATTTAGAGGAAGAGTGGGGCTGTTGTAAAGGAGTAGACCTTTGGTTCTATTATTTTGTGTTACATAATTGTATGTATGTATGTCCTTATGAGCTGTTTGCATGATGTATCTATGTAGACATTTACTGTAGTCTCTATTAGTGTGTTAGACAGCTCCTATCCTGTGATGGGGCACTTGTAGAGTCTGTAGGTTGGGGCAGGTGAAGTATGGGGCAGGGAGGAAACACGTTGCTATTCCATTGGAGGCGAATGGTAGAGTTGGTCCATAGAACACTTCCTCCTTCCCCTCCGTGCTCACGTCCAACACCTGGACCACAGGAAGTGAAATATAAATGTCATACACATGAAATAATAAGAGATTTTAATAACAGAACATTTGCTATGAACACCCTCTTTCTTTATAATGCATTATAAGTGCATTCAAAACACCTTATTAACTATGCATAATGATTTATAATGCACAACATATTTTAATAAATCTGTCACTCACCTGAATACACGCTAGGGGCTCATTGGTCCAAATAGAATATCCACCAACAACATAGATTCGGTCATCATGGACTGCCACGCCAGACTCGTTCTGACCTGCGGAGGAGATAGCGAAAACAATGATTCACTGTGCCAAAGAGAGGCCATATGATTCAATGTCACCTGAGACATAGGGTGCATTCAGAAAGTTCCGGAAATAACTCTGTCTCCTCTCATGACTTCACCTTGAACTTATTTGACAACTTCACAGGGAATCAAGGTCGGGAGGGGTGGATAGTCACAAGGGAAAAAGGAGGACAGTGATCTTATCTAGTATGTGTGCATGCGTACGTGTGTGTGTCTGCGTGTGTGTGCACGTGCATGCGTATGCATGAGCGTGTGTATGTGCAGCCCACCCACCCGTGAGTAGGCTGAAGGTGCAGCGGGTCCACTGGTCCATGTCTATGTCATAGGAGTCTATGTGGCGGACCAGGATGCGGTCGTTGTTGTAGTCCAGGTCATTACCTCCCAGCACATACAGCTGCCTTCTCACCACGGCCATGACGTGGTACACTCGCCTCTGCAGCATGGGACTGGCGGGCCAGCCACTGGTTCTGTCAGAGAGAGAAAGGGGGAGAGATGGGGAAAGAGAGAGAGGGGTGAGTGGAGAGGGGGGGGAATGGAGGAGAGAGGGGGTGGGGGAGAGAGTGAGAGAAAGAGAAGGTGGGGAGCAAAAAGGATGGTGAGAAGATGTTGAATAGATGGATTAATATTTTAGCATATCCCTGCTTGGGTAATTGATGTATGTTCAGTGCTGGATAAATAATGTGTCACCAGGGCTATGACTTTTCCTAGTGATTTCTCCCCATTCCTAATAATATACTTCACCCATCTCCATTTACATGGAGTATCCGACTGTGCACATTTGACTAAGTGTGTCTATGGTTGTTTTGTATGTGTGTGTGGGGAAAGGGGGGTGAGTGTACGTGACCATGTTTGTGTGCGTATGTGAGCTAGCGTGTGTGTGTGCGATTGTGTATGTGTGTGTGTGTTCGCGTGTGTGTGTGTGCGTATGTCTGGTGGGAGTTGACGGTTGGCCATCTGTTGAGGGTAGTGTGGGTGGGGGGTGGTGTTCCTGGCAGGTGAATGTAGCTCCACGGTGAATACAAATGAGACTTTCTCTGTCTCCTGCTCGCTCACTCTCTCTCTCTCTTGCTCTCTTTCTCTCTCTATTACTCTCCCCCTTGCGCGCGGGCTCTCTGTCTCACACGCACACAAACACACATCCTCCTATTGCAGTAAACAAGCGTATTACCCAGCTATCACATAAACAGATTGTTCTGAATCCATGGTTCTTAAATGTTTGGATGACATTTGTCTTACTGTCTTTTCTCTTATTTCTCTGTACTACCTGTTCTTCAGTTACCTGTTCTGGGTCGTACACCATCAGTCTATTCTGGTACTGAGCTGTATTTGTGACTCCACCTGTAACAGAGAAGAGTATTACACACAGGTGGCGTGCATGTGTGTGTGTGTATACAGTGGGGGGAAAAAGTATTTAGTCAGCCACCAATTGTGCAAGTTCTCCCACTTAAAAAGATGAGAGGCCTGTAATGTTCATCATAGGTACACGTCAACTATGACAGACAAAATGAGGAAAAAAATCCAGAAAATCACATTGTAGGATTTTTAATGAATTTATTTGCAAATTATGGTGGAAAATAGGTATTTGGTCAATAACAAAAGTTTCTCAATACTTTGTTATATACCCTTTGTTGGCAATGACACAGGTCAAACGTTTTCTGTAAGTTTTCACAAGGTTTTCACACACTGTTGCTGGTATTTTGGCCCATTCCTCCATGCAGATCTCCTCTAGAGCAGTGATGTTTTGGGGCTGTCGCTGGGCAACACGGACTTTCAACTCCCTCCAAAGATTTTCTATGGGGTTGAGATCTGGAGACTGGCTAGGCCACTCCAGGACCTTGAAATGCTTCTTACGAAGCCACTCCTTCGTTGCCCGGGCGGTGTGTTTTGGGATCATTGTCATGCTGAAAGACCCCAGCCACGTTTCATCATCAATGCCCTTGCTGATGGAAGGAGGTTTCACTCAAAATCTCACGATACATGGCCCCATTCATTCTTTCCTTTACACGGATCAGTCGTCCTGGTCCCTTTGCAGAAAAACAGCCCCAAAGCATGATGTTTCCACCCCCATGCTTCACAGTAGGTATGGTGTTCTTTGGATGCAACTCAGCATTCTTTGTCCTCCAAACACGACGAGTTGAGTATTTACCTAAAAGTTCTATTTGGTTTCATCTGACCATATGACATTCTCCCATCCTCTTCTGGATCATCCAAATGCACTCTAGCAAACTTCAGACGGGCCTGGACAATGTACTGGCTTAAGCAGGGGGACACGTCTGGCACTGCAGGATTTGAGTCCCTGGCGCGTAGTGTGTTACTGATGGTAGGCTTTGTTACTTTGGTCCCAGCTCTCTGCAGGTCATTCACTAGGTCCCCCCGTGTGGTTTCTGGGATTTTTGCTCACCGTTCTTGTGATCATTTTGACCCCACGGCTGGGGTGAGATCTTGCGTGGAGCCCCAGATCGGGGAGATTATCAGTGGTCTTGTATGTCTTCCATTTCCTAATAATTGCTCCCACAGTTGATTTCTTCAAACCAAGCTGCTTACCTATTGCAGATTCAGTCTTCCCAGCCTGGTGCAGGTCTACAATTTTTGTTTCTGGTGTCCTTTGACAGCTCTTTGGTCTTGGCCATAGTGGAGTTTGGAGTGTGACTGTTTGAGGTTGTGGACAGGTGTCTTTTATACTGATAACAAGTTCAAACAGGTGCCATTAATACAAGGTAACGAGTGGAGGACAGAGGAGCCTCTTAAAGAAGAAGTTACAGGTCTGTGAGAGCCAGAAATCTTGCTTGTTTGTAGGTGACCAAATACTTATTTTCCACCATAATTTGCAAATAAATTCATTAAAAATTCTACAATGTGATTTTCTGGAATTTCTTTTCTCATTTGTCTGTCATAGTTGACGTGCACATATGATGAATTTACAGGCCTCTCTCATCTTTTTAAGTGGGAAGAACTTGCACAACTGGTGGCTGACTAAATACTTTTTCCCCCCACTGTATGTACCGTATGTGTGTGTGTTCAGTCTGTTATGCACTATTCTCCCATCTGGGTGTGTGTGTACCTGAGACCCAGAGCAGGTCGTCAGCCCACCAGCCGGCGTGGCAGGACAGCGAGCGGTCAAAGGACTGGACGAAGGTCCACCTTGTTCCTCCTGGGACAGTAGCGTTCCACAGTGGGCAGCACCTGTCTCAGCTCATTCCTCCCCCCACAGCGTACAGGTACTGGCCCAGAGCCCCCAGGACAAAGTGTTCCCTGCACGCCTTCATGGAGGCTATCTCTGTCCAGCGGTTCCCCCGGGGGTCGTACCGACAGGCGGTCCTCACTGCACACGTCCTCCCCGTGGAATGCTCCACCTCGCCGCCCGCCAACAAACAGGAAGTGGACCCATGACGGCCACGCAGTGGTGGCTGCGCCCGGCGGGCAGGGCCAGCTCGCCCCAGTGGGGCCCCTGCCCCCCCCACTTTTTCCTTGCCGGGTTTTTAATAACGCAGCTCCCGTACCGGCTCACCT